CACTGTGCTGACCCCTGCTGCAGCCCGGGCTCCCTCCTTCAGGCACAGACACTTACCCATCAGCTGTCTTCCTTCTCCAGCCGCTCTCCTCCTCTTCACCAGCTCCAGCTGCTCCCTCACTTGATCTTCACTCTTCGCACTGCAGCTCAGCTCCTCCTCTCCAAGCTCCGCCTCCTCGCCTGTGATTGGCCACCTGTGTGCCTTTTCTGAGCTATAGGGAGGGACAGGCTGTCATAGGCTGCCCAGTGATCCTAGGGATGTGGCCAGATTCAAGGGGCGGCTTGTCATTCCACCCACATCGCGATCAAGATCCAGGAAGATGAAAACACCGGATGAACACCCTCTGCACCCCTCCTCCAGCAGCGCCTTGTGGACCAGATCGACGTGAGACACGGAGTCGCGGACAAAGGTAAGACACAGCAGCCCCTGTCCTTTTCCAATGGAAGTGTCCCTTCCGTGGGAAAGGGGGGGGGCGGCACTGCCGCCGTGCCGCCCCCCTGAAAAGTGCCGCCCTAGGCAAATGCTTTGTTTGCCTCGCGGCAAATACGCCCCTGGGGTTACTGCAGACACGTACAACAGCAAGCTTAAGGTGTCTCCTAGATTGTAAGCTCCAAGGAGCAGGGGCCTCCTATCCCTCTTGTATTGAACTGTATTGTTGCTGTATTGTCTCCCGTTATATTTTAAAGCGCTGAGCAAACTGTTGGCGCTATATAATTATAATAATGTCTCTCCAGATTCTTGGAGCACGTTATACCAAAAAACGTACTAATTTCCATAGGTATATTTAGACTGTCAGCCCTGGTTCACACTGATGCGGTGCAGAATTCGCAGCGTTTGCAGTGCAAATTTAGCACCGCATCACAATCACACCCCATTCATGCGAACTGCTGTGGGTGTGTATGTTAAATTAACAACACCTCGAAAGCAGTCCGCAAAACAAGCTGCTATGTGCAGAATCGGATTGCATAGGTGTGAACACCCATGTTATCTCATTCTAGTGCGGACCAAAAAAAGGGTCCTGCACAGTTTTGGTGTGGGTGCGGTGAGATTAGAGCCACACAAAATGTATGGCTCCAATCGCACTGCACACAAATTGCATGTGATTTGTACAGGAATGTGGTTCGGTTCCTGTGCGAATCACATGCGTTATACCGCACGTCATATATGTGAACCCAGGCTAAACCCACATAACTACAAAGACTAATGTGATACAAATATGTAATTATATTTTAGCGATAAAGAATGATTCATCATTTTCTCACACTTGAAGACTTTTAGGACATGTTTATACATTTAAATCTCATTTCAATCAACATTTAAATGTGCAATCAATCTTTTGCCGTAATTATAACCATGGAATGAAAGGTATGGGAGTTCAATTTTTAAAGTGGTATTAAATTCAAAACCAAATATGTATTATATTGCAGCTTACTAATGATGTGGCTGCTGCTGCATTTAGTTTTCTTTTCTTTGGCTTTTTTCCCCCTCACCTGGTGATTTGGCCAGTAGCACACGTCCTGTATTAGAATGCCAACACAGGCACAAGAACTGGAGGCACAGCAGAGAGCAGCATTGTCAGTCTGGGGGGGAAGGTAATGTTAAACGCATAAGCTGATTTAAATACACTAAACAAATTGAAGCCAAACTCGAGCTAACAGTGTATAATCAGATACAGCAAACTTTTTTATTTCCTTTGGGATAAAAGTTTTGCATGAATAAAGAAAAACCTGATAATTTTTATCACTCCTGCCAGTGCCAAGTAGTTTGTCCGATCCATATAAACTAATACATTGTGCTTGAGAGCTTGTGCTTCTGAAAAACAATAGACTTACTGGCTGGATTACCCAATGAAAACAGAAAAAAGAAGCCTAAAAAAGGAAATTAATACAGCCATCACATCTAAGAATTGGCAAGCTGCAATATAATAAATGTTTCCTTTTGGCTTTAATACCACTTTAACATTTTGGAATGAAACCTTGGATTGTGATAAGAAATACTTATCAACTGACAACGTGAAAGACACCTCTGTCCATGGAGACAGAAAGGCTTACTAAAACCCTTGAAGCAGGTCTTGACAAATAGTCTGATGCTATAGGTACATCTTTCTTAAACAGTTTTCTTTAGTTAGCATAGAGGGTGTTAAAAAGGACGGTTGGAGCCATGTCCAAAAAGTGCAGAGCCAAGGACTAGTTACCAATATTGCTTGTAGGCTTCCAGAGCTAATATTTTTCCCAGGACAGACTTACCGTGGATAGTTTTTATGCTGTGTGGCAACAGCCATCTTGGTAGATGAGCAGGACTTTGTTTCCTAGAGTCAGACCTATCTTCCAGAAGACTATTGACCTGGTGAACTAATGACTAGTGCAGGGAATTATCCAATGGCTGCAGGAGAAATAGAGAGCCACAAATCGACAGACATCAGCATCACAGATAGAAGAGGCATAAACAGACAACAGGGAAGGTAGAGTAAACACAGACTGACAGAATGAAATACTAGCAAGGAGATCCTTGCACTACAGATTACCAGGTACAGCTTCCTCTTCAGCAGTTCCTCAGAGGAACATTGAATACATGTCAAACTAAGTGAGAATTGTAACCATCAAATGCAGTTATGGGTGGGGTATGTTTTATATAATCTCACAATGCAGACACTGGAGTGAGAGTTCTTTGCAGAATCTTGAGGCAAACTGTAGATGTTTCAGGTTGCTGTTTAACTACAATTAACCTTTTTTGATATCCCCTATAAGACAGCAAATGCTGTGTGATATCCTGAATATAGTTCCATCTGTATGATATGATTACAGCCTTGGTGGTGTTTCATTTTAACCCAAGATGCACTGGTTTAAGATGGTGAAGCATTGTATATGATCAGAAGTGTGATGACTGAAGCCCAATTATAATGATTACTGGCTAATATGTAGAAATAATTACTGAGAGCAAATAGTTTGTTTTTTGAGACATTTAGGGCCATACAAATTCCATGAATAAACAGAAAACTGAACATCAATGAAAGCAAGAAGGTTCAAAAACTGACATCTTTACTGACCAAAGTGATAATAAGCATAAATGCTCTTCAGGCAGAAAATCAGAAAAAGCATTAAAAGTTCACAGGAAGAAATATTTGAAAACAGCATATACACAATGCTCAGCAGAACAGAAGAAAACAGAATTCTCTATTATCTGGCAAAATATAATCTTCCTTTTTCAGATCAGATATTATGGATCTAATTGAATTGCAAATTCTAAATAGCGTTGATATGGATGCTACCCTTCACTCACATTACAATATCAAGGAAATATAAAAAACATATTTCAAGTCAGTTTAAAAGAAACTTTCATAGATATTTGTGGGTAAAGAATATTTTAGCATTGATAGATGAATATACTGCTCTTGCAAAATGTCTGTTTTGTTCATTTATATTAAATGTCATATTGAAGGAAACAAAGAAATTATATTTTTATACTTAATTTCCTTGGAAAATCTAAGCAGAACAATTTCTACTGCACTTATAAAATGTTTAAACTCTTATAGCCATCAAACACATATTTGAAAAAACTCAATCTTTTTTTGCATCTTATTAGTGTGAAGCTTGAAAAAGTCAGAAGCTGCTGAAATGCTTAAAGGGAAAATACAGTATTTTTCTAGATTCATTTTTAAGATTAAAACACAGTTTTTATTTGTTTATACGATTCTTGCTTGTCAGGTAAATATGAAATGTTGCATTTATATATTTCATATTTACACTTCCAGCCAACAGGTGGGATTCCAGTGCTCCTTTTCATATATTTGCTAGGCAAACCTTAAAGTGGTTCTGAAGGCTGAAAGGTATTATGCATTAAAAATTCTATACATGAAAAGTAAAAAACCTTCCGGGTTCTGCTACTCCCACAGCCCCCTTAACTACTCACTTGAGCCCCCTCGATCCAGCAATGAGCCTCAGCTGTCCCAGGTCTCTCTCCACTCATTGGCTCATTGACTCAAAGACAGCAGTGGTAGCCATTGAATGAGGAGGTAGTGGGGGACGAGGCTGAGTCACAGCTCTATGTATCTTAATGACACATAGAGCGGGGGGCTTGGGAGCGAGCACGCACTAGTGTCCCCATAGTAAAGTGGCCAAAAGAAAAGGAGCCTGGAGCGCTGGTGGGGGACCCGAAAAGAAGAGGATCGGTGCTGCTCTGTGCAACACCACTGCACAGAGCAGGTAACTATGACATGTTTGTTATTAAAAAAAATACCTATAATATAATTTTAACTTTTTCTGAAAAAGCCTATTTACAGAGCTCAACAGCTGAAAATGTATGCATGCAAACAGCATGAAGAAAGTTAATTAGCTAAAGTTTGGCAGTATTTCTAAAATCACATACTAGAGCTGACACTTTATAAAACTATTGCAAGACTGTACGTCATCCATACAATCCATTTTATTTGTTTTATGGAAATAACCGTATTTGCCGGCGTTATAGTTAGTTCTCGAAAACATTACATGAATCCAAACAAACACTGTTTAGGGGGGGCGGCGCGTTTTACTTCTTTTAACCACTTGCTCTCCAGAGGATTTACCCACGACATTCCTGACCAAGCCACTTTTTGCGATTCATGACCACTGATGCGTTACTTTCACTGACAAGTGATGCGCCGGTCATGCAATGATGTACTTAAATGAAAGGACCATGTCCTTTTCCCACAAATAGAGCTTTCTTACGATGGTAGTGCCCCATCATTGGTGTGATCACCTCTGTGTTTTTTGATACCAACGATGGGGCACTATTCCTTGCGCTAACGATGGGGCCACTAACCCCCCACTGACACCAAAAAAGACTGCCAATTTTGAAAAAACTGAAAAACGATATTCTTTACTTTTTGCTCTAAAATATGTCCAGTGAAAAAAATGGGGTAAAAAAAATCAAATTTCTTTATGAATTTAGGCCAAAATGTATTCTGCTACGTCTTTGCTAAATGTAAATTAATTGGTTTATGTGAAAGCTATAGCATCTACCAATGGCAGTGTATATACTGGAATTGTTTTTGATACTAGTAATGGCGGCAATCAGTGACTTATAGCGGGACTTCGGCGGGGCATTCTGACACGGGGGGGCACTGACTAACTGTCACTGACATCCCAGTGACACTAATACAGTGATCAGTGGCTAATAAAAAAACACTGACTCTGTACCAATGGGGCACTAACGACACTGAGCAGGAAGGGGTAGTTAACATCTGGGGAAATCAAAGGGTTAACTGTGTGCTGTTTTACTAAGTGTGCTGTGTGTTTTACTAGGGAAAACATAAGCTGCTTTGTATTGCAATACAAAGCAGCCTGTTTGTGCTGACAGGAGAGAGATCTGTGTTGTTTACACACAGACCTCTCCCCTTTCACTCTTTCACAGTGATCGCCAGGTGCCGGCGGGGAATCTCCGGCCGGGACCTGGTGATCGACAGCTGTAGCCGCCAATGGCAAAATCACACACGTGTGCACGCACGCACGCACACACACACACACAAGCACACACCAATGGCAGTGTATATATATTATATAGTAATGGCGGCAATCATATATATATATATATACATGACATACATACATATACATATACATAATAACAAAAACTATATATATATACATACATACATAAATAAAGGGTTAATGTAACTGTACATAATACACTACAAACAAGCTAAACATACATATACAACACAGCACGTTTGTGCTGACATAGATATCTGTGTATATACACACAGATATATACACATATCGCCAGGTGCCGGCGGGGAATCTACACATATACACACACACACACACACACACACAAATCACACACACACACACACACACACACACACACACACACACACACACACACACACACAGTTGTGTTCAAAATAATAGCAGTCAGACATCACTAACCTGATCAATCACCTTTTTTGGTAGAAAATTATATTTCTACATGGCAAATAATTTACTAGCAGGTGTAGTAGAGTAATAGAAATCCAACAGACCCAACAGTCATGACATGCGTGCTGCTGATTCTGTGTAATTGAATCACTAATTGAAAGGGGCATGTTCAAAATAATAGCAGTGTGGAGTTCTATTAGTGAGGTCATTCATTCTTTGAAAAATAGGTGGCAATTATTGCCCTTATTTAAGGAAGGAAGGCAACAAATGTTGTACATGCTGGTTACAGGGCATTTGTCTCTGAAATTCTGAGGAAAATGGGTCGTTCCAGACATTGTTCAGAAGAACAGCGTACCTTGAATAAAAAGTTGATTGGAGAGGGGAAAAACATATAAAGAAGTGCAGAAAATGATAGGCTGCTCAGCTAAAATGATCGCAAATGCTTTAAAATGGCAACCAAAACCTGAAAGACGTGGAAGAAAGCGAAAAACTACCATTCGAATGGATAGAAGAATAGCCAAAATGGCAAGGACTCAGCCAACAATCAGCTCCAGGAAGATCAAAGAAGGTCTAAAGTTACCTGTGAGTACTGTTACAATTAGAAGACGCCTATGTGAAGCCAAGCTATCTGCAAGAAGCCCCCAGCAAAGTTCCACTGTTGAAAAAAAAGACGTGCTGAAGAGGTTACAATTTGCCAAAGAGCACATTGACTGGCCTAAAGAGCAATGGGGAAACATTTTTGGACTGATGAAAGTAAGATTGTTCTTTTTGGGTCTAGTGGCCGGAGACAGTTTGTCAGACGACCCCCAAACACTGAATTCAAGCCACAGTACACTGTGAAGACAGTGAAGCATGGTTGCACAAGCATCATGATATGGGGATGTTTCTCATACTACAGTGTTGGGCCTATTTATCGCATCCCAGGGATCATGGATCAGTTTGAATACATCAGAATACTTGAAGAGGTCATGCTGCCTTATGCTGAACAGGAAATGCCCTTGAAATGGGTGTTCCAACAAGACAACGACCCCAAACACACCAGTAAATGTGCAACATCTTGGTTCCAGACCAACAAGATTGATGTTATGGAGTGGCCAGCCCAATCCCTGGATCTTAACCCAATAGAAAACTTGTGGGGTGACATAAAAAAATGCAGTTTCTGAGGCAAAACCAAGAAATAGAGAAGAACTGTGGAATGTAGTCCAATCATCCTGAGCTGGAATACCTGTTCACAGGTGCCAGAAGTTGACTCCATGCAACACAGATGTACAGCAGTTCTCAGAAACAGTGCTTATACAACTAAATATTAATTAAGTGATTCAAAGGAAAGCAAAATCTTCAAACATTTTTCAGTTTATATAGTGAATGTTTGAGTTTGTAAAGAAGAATACAAACACTGCTATTTTTTCGAACAGTCTAATATCACTTTTCTTCAATTATTTTAGAGGAACAACACAAATGTGATATATTTTTTCTTCATGTTTTGATTTGGAATAGAATGTGTAGTGTTCCCAATGCATTTGTGTGTATGGAAATAAAAGCTATTAGAAGGATTTTGAGCTTAATTCACTTTTTTCAACACACTGCTATTATTTTGAACACAACTGTATATATATACACATATATACATACACACATACTCACATATATACACTGTATATGTGACTTTGCACAGCCCTGTAGCAGTAGTTTTGCTATAGGGCAGTTGGGAAGTGGTTAAAGCTATGGAAGAAACTTTGAAAAAAACTAAGAATTTTCCTTGTCCAAGGACTCCTTGGTACCTTTTGCACCTAAATGCAAAAAGTCCACTAATGTATTTCCTTATGACTCTTTGATCGTGTTATCGTCAAGGATTGGAATCTTCTGATTTGGCTGTTTACCATGCCTAGGCGATCTGTGGTGCATTATCCTTTTGACAAGGTGTTTGGTAATAAATGGTTCACCCCTCCCATTGTAGAACCTCCCATTTCAAGGCTTCATAAAGCCCCCATAATTCCGGCGGAGTCCTTTTACATCTTGAAATTGGCAAGTCAGAAGACTGACAGTGTTTTGCTCTATGTATACCATCACTGAAGCCCTGATTATACCAGTGCTGGCTTCTACCTTAGTTACCAAGACCCTAAATAAATGGGCCAGGCTTTTATACCAAGGCTTGGCTTTGGGGCAGATCTTTCCAGCATATGTCAAGTTGGTGGACCTACTGTTTTAGGGTCTCAAATATGTTTGTGATGCAGCCCTGGATTCTGGACAGTTGGTCTCTCATCTTTCTGTCCTGGATTTTGTCCTTCACTGACTGTTATGGCTCAAGTGCTAGTTGGTGGATCAGATATCCAAGATGTGCTTGACTAAGATATCTTTTGTGGGTGACTGTCTGTATGGTGATTTGCTGAATGATATTATTCAGATCCTCACAGGAGGTAAAAGCACGTTCCTTTGGGCTGACATCAACCTCCCTCATCTTTACCAAGGTTTTGGAGCTGTGTTTGTTCAAACTATGGAGGATAATGGTTGTCAGGTACCTGGATAGTTTAAACCTCCGTGTGGACTCCAAATTAGAACTTTTAATAAAAGAAAATTATTTATTGAGCCACGTTCACAATGTACCCAAACTCACAGCACATTGCCAACATATACAGAGAACAAATAAATCTGCCATCAGATACAAAATGAAACATTTGACAACGTTACATTTCACAGTTGAATAAACAGGCTAGCAGTACAACTGCAAGATGAACATAAAGGTGACCTTCATAAGACAATGGTGACATCACAGTGCATAGTAATAGCTTAGAAAAAGTAAACAGAACAAAAAAGAAAAAAAAAAACAACTTCTAAAAGGGTCAGGAAATTAGCCAGTTACAGCCCTATCGCTTCCAATAAGAGAGTATAACCAAAACAATTATTCACAGATGAATTAATTAAATGATGTATACTAGTGGATTCACTTTTCAGCCTGCTGTATCCAAAAAAATTAAAAATATAAAAAAGGAGAACATAGTACTTCTCACACCTGTAATAATCATTCCATGACTGATTGGTGAGGAGCTAGTCCAGGAGTCTCAAGCCATGATTGCTATAAAGTGAAAAACTTGCGGTGTGCATTTCTGTGTTGGTAAGTGAGTTTTTTTTCCGGATCAGAATAGAGTTAACCTGATTGATCCTGTGTTTTATGGTAGGGACATGGGAAGACTTGGAACTTAAATTGTCTAGCTCAACCAGCTGGTGAGGGGGGGGGGGGAGTGCTGAACCAGTTGTTAGTCCTGGTTCTGTGTCTTTTTGAAGAATTTGATCTATCCATCAAAGCTTCAGATGATTCAGCTCTCCTTCTTGCATGGGACTGCCCTCCTTGAAGGACATCCAGTCAACAATCAGGCAATGCCAATACTTTGGTGTATGTCAAACACCAGAGAAAAAGGGTGCATTAGTCACATTGGAAGAGGCTCAGATCCTTCTGGCCCTATTCTCTGTTCATATTCCAGAGGTGGACAACTGGCAGGTGGCTCACCTGAGGTTTAGTGAGAGTGGTCCCTTCATTTCGACTTTTACTATTTTCTTTTTGATGGGCTACAGCAGACAAAGATTTTCTAGAATCTGGGTTCAAGAGAAAAAGTACCCAGGTTCAGGGCCAGAACCAAGGATTCTTGATGTGGAAGGGATGGAGATGTTAGTAGCACCTTGAGACAGGTGTTCTCTGATTTATCTTTCCTCTCCTCTAAACCTTCTTCCCTAGTTATTGCAAAGGATAGAGCTGAAAAGCATTCTTCTTAATTCTAGTAGCCTCAGACTGGGCATGTTAGGCCTGGTATGCGATACATCTGGTTGCAGACACCTCTTGGTACGTACCATTATATATGGATCTTCCAGCTCAGGGTTTAATTTCCCATCATGCTTTACTGTAATTGACTTTATTGGCATGTGTGACAGAAGCATAGGCAGAACAGAATGCACATGGAGGATGATAAACACACAAAGCTTTATTGAAGTATGGGAGGCACTGAATCAGGGTAGGAAGGTAGCGTCCGGGTACCCAAAAAAGGGGAAGAGGGGGGGGGAGGAGTCCAAACAGTTATAATCCGGCCCACGATATAGGGCGATTCGGGTATTGATAGCCCGAGCACTCGGGGGGGGGGGGGGGGCAGTCCAGGTAGCTACGATAATCCAGCCATGCAATAGGCAGTCCGAGCAATTATTAATCCAAGTGGGCAGTTCCCGCAAGGATAATAAATTCAAATGGGGCAGTCCAGGCAGGGAAAGTATGGGTGTATTCAGTGGGGGCAGTCCAGACAGGGCAATATATTGATTCAAGAGGGGGCAGTTCAGGCAGGAGAATAGGAGCACTCACGGTTTAGTCAGAGGTAACTTTGCAGCCGCACACAGCAGTCAGGAGACAGGGGCCCATGCAGCACTCAGCTTTCCAGGGACACAGCGGTCAG